GTGACTCACTGGGGTGCCCAATGGAATAAGGGACTACCACGACAGACCCCGTTAAGCCTTGGAGGACTGCAAGTTCCCCTGAACACTGTTCCCAGTAGCCGGGGGGCGCCACAAAGGGGATTTCTTTTCCTCTCCAGTCTGTTTACCTGGTCACTTCGGCTTTCATTCTCGGGTCCCTGTACCGTGCAGTTCGCAGCGAACGGCATTTTTGTGGGGCTGGTAAATCAAGTGGAAACCCAGGAGGAAGGAAGTACAGGTGAAACTCATCCAGGGGAACCTTTGGGTCCCCACATGGTTGTGACCACCAACCACCTGGTGGGCCTCAACCCCACCACCAAGACCCAGGAGAATGGGTGGTTGGACCCCTCAGAAGGCCCCCAAGGGCTTCACCGGAAACCTGTGACCATCAACGGGACCCGTGGTGGAGGTTTTGGGTAAAAAAACAGAACCATAAAAAATACTGGGAAAGGTAACACCTGGGATTTGATTAGGCCTTGGACTGGAAACTGGCCCAACACAGAACCGCCCCTTTGTTGGGCAGAAGAAGGTTCCCCAGAAGCCCGTTTTTTATACCTTTCCTCAGAAGGCTGGCCGTCCCCTTCACATCTCTGCAAAAAACGCCTGCAAATATTCCTATCAGTCTGTTTTTTGGTGGGCGAGGCCTCTTTCTAATGCAGTAGTGTTTCTGGGGGGAGGCACCATTAAGAAGAAAGAGCAACCTCCCCCCGTTGGGAACAAACTTGTTGGAGGGAAAGGCGGGCTTCCCTGTGGTTGGGCAACAAAGCCTGGGAACAGCCTTGACATCTGTTTTGGCCAGAAAAGCAAAAGGGGCACCGCTGAACCAGGCCCTTCCCCCGTCAATCATGGGACAACCACTTGCATCCCCACTGCCCAAGCAAAACCATCTTACAGCAGAGGAGCCAGCCTTTTCGCCGACAGGGGCTGCTGGTCAACTGGTTCTTGTTTCCCACTGAAAAGACTGAGGAAGGGATCGTCCTTCCCCACGCCATTGGGAGGCCTCCTTTTTCAAACTCCCACAGGGGAAGGGAAAAACTCTAAAACTCCAATATTGCTTGCCCTTAAAGTTAAATTAAGAACCCTACTGAAAAAAAAAACCAGACTGACCACAGTGCCACCCCCTGCAATTTATGTGACCACTTTGACTGAAAAAACAAGACACCTTATGCAAACTGGATTTTTGACCATGCACCTTTAGGGACAACTTAGCCCCCAATGGCTTTCCGTATTTTTGGTTATTTTTTTTTCTACTTTATCTATTAGTTTTTCCTTCTAAAATTTGGGGACCCTCCTCTTGTTTTATTATTAATTATTTATTTAAATTATTATTATTATTTTAATTATTATCAAAGTTTTTGGGTGGATACTGGCCCTGGAAAAACCCTGGGTGAATTCCTTTGGAATGAATACAAGGTTCTATCCCTTATCTAATCTATCTATCTAATCCTAATCCTTATTCCTATCTATCTATCTTATTCTATCTATCTTATCTATTCTATCTATCCTATCTATCTTAATCCTAAATGTACACTCCCTTTATTGTATGGCTCCCACAGCAAAACCCTGAAACATTTAAATGTTTAGGGTTGGGCAATTCTTACTTTTCATTTACTTCTACTGTCCTTTTTTAATGTCCTTTTTAAACTATGTTTTTAACAAAACCAATAGGACATTTTTTTAAATTTTGGCTTTTCGCTTTTAACTATTTGTTTTGAAAAAAGTCAAAAAAGATCACTGCACACTAGGAGCTGCTGAAAGGGCTGCCACTCGTTGCCATGGCGCCACCGTCGATTTGAATACACTTTTATAGGTCTATGCAAATCAGAAGTTGTAAGTGTTAACCTTGGAAACCTTGGTGTTTACTCTAGTTAGCGTAAGCCAGGTGCGGTGATCATTTATCACAGTGTTAGTAGAAATACAGCTGCACCATCTGTACCGACCTCTACGCACAGTGGTGCTCATGAAGCAACAGCCACAACTGATGTCTTTTTCCATCCATACTGTAGCTACAACACGGCTGTGAATAAAATCAGAGGGAATGCTGAAGGCAGCAAAGACAACAACTCTGACAGAAATAACATTTGTAATATGTGTGCACAGTCCAGTGTGACAGTACATTGCAGAGGATCATGATATTTTCTTTGGGTGACAATGCAGCACAAAGCATTTTTCCATAGCATTTACATGAATGTTTAGACTGGCAAATTCCCTGCAAAAGCTCGGCAGGTGGAGAGGATCCTGATGTTTGTGTTTGTCTCAGAATAAAAATTGGCAAAATAGGAAAAATCAAGAAAAACTTACAAAATCTCTTGGGAACAGAAAGAAGAGAACTATGATGTCATTAAATTGTACAAACCGCTGGCGCAAACAGACTACTAACAAAGTAAGAGATGATTGTTTTTGTCTTCTGGTTCTCTCAAGGTTCACCTTTCCAAACACTGGCTGCTCAAAGATTTACAATTATTTGCATAAACTTGCAAATGTGGCTATCATCTGGATTTGAAGTGGCTGAATTTGCCTTTCTCCTTGATCCTTACATGAATGTTTCAAAATGATTTCAGAGAAGACAAGACACACCTTTAAGCTTCAGCTTGCAAATTGACATAAACTCAGAGTACAGAGTTGATATAACCTCTCTCAAAATGCTCTTTTGTTCTTACTTCTCCCTCAGGGCAGGGGGAAGAGGTCTAATTGTTATATGGACCTGAGGAGAAGGTTTAATGTTTACTTTGATTCACTGACTGACTTATTGTTCTCCAAAATGTCAGTTTGTGTCGCAGAAACTTTTTCAACTGTGAGAAAAGTACAGAGGCTACTTAGACAGGTGGCAGTTATTCTCAACCCTCAGGAGGCAACCGGACACTGCACAATGAAGTGATTGTGCCCGTGTTGGCCTGTAGCAAACAAGTATGTCTAAACACGGCAACAAGGTTTAGACATAAAAACATTTTGGATGGTGAAGCTGTTTTAGAAGAAGAAATGTCAGTATTTTAATTTTGAACCTACGTAACTGCAGTTTCCCCATTCAAAGTCACATCATTGAAGTTCCCAGTGGAAATCTCTGACCTCTGATATTTGTGCCATAAACAAACATGGGTGCTGTGAAGATGCTGAACAGTGGGGCCATGTGCAAACAATGTATGAGTGTGTCAGTCTGTATATGTTTCTGTTATTTTACACTTCAAGATCTTGTAAAAGATTGCAAAGATCCAACCATGTTTCTTCCAAATAATATTCATAATGAGCTATAATTCAAACTATGGCCCCTACACAAGACTCACCTCACAGCAGTGACTGTCTAAGGGGGCACAGGATAAAACAAAAGTAGTGTAGAAGCGTGACTGGGTTTATTTGGACCACTGAATTAGCCATAACTGCTGTGAAACTATCAGAAAATGAAAATACAATTTTATTTCTCTTGCTTTGTTTCTCGCTGTTCTTTTTCATTCACTTTCTAGCTTATTTAATCTGCCATAGGGGCATCTTCTGGCAGTTTTTTTCAGCCTGTGTAAATTTGCCTTTGTGTTGCCGTCGTCTTAT